CCCAAAATGCAAACATTGATTTACGCTCTCAAATCGAATACCTCTGCCACAGTTAAGCAGGAATACGCGAGTGTACTCGTTAATTATGTATATTTGCACGGGGTACCCGAGTTTGCTCTCCACATAATTATAATTAGAGGGACTGGACCATTGGAGAGAGGGACGATGAAGAACGCGCGACACGAGAGCAGTGGTAATATCGGACTGATGCGAATGCGAGCTCACTTGACGCGGCAACATCATATTCCCAGCAGATCACATTCAATCTATATGGAAATGCAAACGTTGCTGCTGCGTCGGTTGGTCGGTCGGACCATGTGTGTGTGTTGCTCACTCAGAAACCGCCCGTGCGGTGGCATACCTGAACTTCTCCTTACCTTTTTTTGTGTGTATGAAAGTCATTCTCGCCACAAGAAAGAAAAAGCAGAGGCGTCAGCACGCAAGCAGCACTCACCTGATGATGCATCCCGGCGTATTAGAAAAGTTTGCAGTCACTGCATAATGCGCGGAATAAATCGACGACCGCGTTTTTGTATCCCCATGTGTCAGTCTCAACTCTTTGCTTATTTCCAACCTGTACTTGCACTTCTCTCTATCTATGTAAAAAAGGGGTTCGGAAACTCTGTTTGAATCGTACACCGATATTTACAACTTCTCAACACAGAACTCACGTGGCTTCCGAGTCGATCTTTGCATTTCTCGGAAAGTTTAATCAAGCCGCCTTTCCTACTGGCAGTAGAAGTAGGCAAATCTGGGTTACTTTTTTATGCAATATTTGCCGAGATCGCTGGATGTTTAATAAGCAGAGTGGATTACATTGGCAGAGGGAATTGCATGCAAATAAAATTGCTTACTTACGATTGTAGGCAGTTTTCATTCGATATCTTTTTGATTATCAAGTTTCGCATTCATAACTGATTCAACTATAGTTGCACGTCAAGAGTTAAAAATACCATAAGAACAAACAGCCCTGGAGGCAATGGGAACAAAATACACGCATCACAAAAATTACTTCATTAAATTGTTAAAACGCTTATTAAGAAATATTTATTGACAATAAAAAATTTATATATTATAAATTGAAAAAAATGTTTAAGCTTTAATTTTTATTTTAAGACGGACAATAAGAAATTTTAAGTTTCCTGTTCTGTGAAGACATTGGATTTACTATGCCAGGAAAGATTCATAATCATAAAAATGACGTACAACAATAACTGGTGGGTGAAAAAAAAACAATTTTCTATGGATAATTTGCAACTAATTCAAGTAATTAAATAGATTAAAGGAGTGGCCCATGGTTAAAAATTCCTCAACTTGAAAAATTGCCAAATCTGTAGGAATAAAAATTAAAGAAAAATGTGGAAAGGAGAACATTGCGTTTCTTGCATCTGCTTATTTATTGACGCATTGAAGCCACATAAAAGAGTATTCCAGAGTAAAAAACAATGAGCAATGATTTGACTACATCAATAATATTTTTGATTAAATTTTATCATCAAATTGAAAAGAAAACATAAATAATGCTATAATTATTTGTGTATTACTTACATTTCTTGTTGTTACTTCTTCACTTCGGCGGACCTGAAAATTAAATTTACAAGTTCTGAATTCAAATTTTTAATTTTGTTGAGAATTGTATCGATTTCAAGTTCGCACAGTAGTTCAAAGCTTCTATGTGGTCTATGAGAGAAAATTGCAGACTAGCCTGTGGCTGTGCTGTGTGTGTCGCGCGGAATCCAATTAGACAAGTCTGAATCAAACAATGAGCCCCCGAGCCGTGTTATTAATTAATTCCACTTGACGGAGCGAAACTTTTTTGACACGCCGCGACGGAGTGACCGCAGCCATGGCTCGCCGACCCAGGCAGAGAGTCTGCTGGCGGGCGGGCGACGGGGTGGGTGGGCGCATTGTCGTGCAAATAATTCCACCCCAGAGATACGTCCAGGTGTTTTCGGCGACGGACGCACTCAATCAAAACAGACGCTGGCTTTCGCATCAGAATTATTTGTAACCAGGCAACGTGTTCCATCCGTCCGTAGGGGCGGCCTGCGGCGATAAACGCGCGAGAGCGAGCTTATGCATAAAAAGAGAGCCGGTCACCTTGGCAACTCTTTCCCGATGACGTCAAGGAGGAAAACAATTTATTTTGCATACGCTTCTCGCTTCGTTTGCCGTAATGTGATAGCATTTAGACGCCACACGATTCTCGTTATTATATATTTATGGAGCACACTCTGACCAACGCCTAGAAACCGTCATGTGGAAGAAAGACGTACATGATGCCAACGAAAGCTGAAATTAAAATTGATCCAGCAGTCACAAATTCATGTATTCGTTTTCTACTTCATGTAATTTTTTTTACTGATTTAAGAAAAAGTTTTGGAATAAATTATTTAAAAAAAAAATCCAATGAAAAATATAATATCTTTATCGATATAATTGTACTGCAAAATTAAAAAAAAATTAAGATAATAGAGCAAACTAAAATTGACACATTAATAAACACAATTTGTAACTATTATTATGGGGCATTAAATTTCTTACTATTACAGTTTAGTATATACCCTCATAAATTTGAAGGGTTTTGTCAAGTAGCAGATGTAATTATATTATTAATTATAATTTATCTGTGGAAAACATAAACATAATTCAGTGTAGAAATATTTTTTTTACATATGTATTTTAATTAAATTAGTACTTGTGACTAATCGCCTTGAAGTGCTCCAATGCACTTAAAATTAGCTTTTTAATATAATTTTTTCCATACACTACCCTTTAAAATCTCACAATTGGGCAACCACTTAATTTTTTCAACATCACTTCAGACATTTTAACGAGAGTCTTTTAATTGGATAATTAAAAAAACCCAAACTTTACATTTTACAAGCTGGACACAATTGCCTCCATTTTGCTCCCTCTCGCCCACGGCAAATTAAGGTCCGGCGTTATTACGGCCACACTGTAACTGCAGTTGCGTGCATGAGCAATAATCGTAATTCTAATCCAGTAAGTGCGCTTTTGTGTTTTTGGCTCAAGAGAGGGGAAGCATCTTAATAGCACCACCATCTCTTCTATTCCACAGTGCGCAAAGAGCTGCGGCGAAAATGGATATAAAAAAATCCGCGCGACTAGACGGCAGCTCTGCGCGTTCATTTTTCATCAAGAACAAGAAAAAGAGGAGACGCGCTGCATCTCATTCCTTAGAAACAAAAACAAACGCTGCCTTCCTGATCAACGAACAAACTCCGTGCCGATGGCAATAACCTAGAACCACTTAGTTTTTATCACCGTCGGGCACATTATTATATGAAGTTAGCCCACAGCACATTATTTGCACACAGCGTTAATAGTGGCTGCTTTTTATTACGTGTTTGCGCACTAATAATAAAAAAAGGTGTGTACGATATTTTTCCTTGAGAGTCACGCGGAGGCGGCAAGAATTTAATTAAACTCGCAAACAATACTGCCTCGGGAGGTAATGTCTATTTACTCTCTGCAGTTAATACTCGCCTCTCTTATTAAGTGAGAGCCCCGATTTGGGGGGAGAGATTTCCAGAGTCTCTCTCTTGTTTGTGCAGAGTCCGGTCGGTCCAAATTACTGCCTCCAGCCACTAAGCCGTCAACTTGCAGCCCTAATTAGCGCGGCGTCTTTCGCCACTAATTCTTTATATTTTTCATTTTCGGCAGCGCCACGAAACGCCCGAATTTAATCCGCTTACTTTACACTGCCGCTTCCGAGCAACGCGCTGCAGACGAGAGAGGGATTTGTATTTTTTTTCCTGTGCCTCGAGCCGTATTTTATTTACAGGTGTTGCTTCCTCTCGAGCTCACTCACTCGCGACTACTCGCGAAAGGTGCGAGATGAAATTTCAGAGGCCCTCTGTGAATATATTTTTTTTCCGCCTGCCTAACAACCAGCCCGTCGGTTTCCATGACTACAGAATGAAGACGACGCGCTGCTCAGGCATCTCTGGAACTGATTCGTGCTGTGTAATTCTATCTGCCCCCTTTCGCGCTGCTTTGTTTGCCGGTCGTTTTGTTGTTTACTGAAAACAATCAGCCCTCTGATAAAATCAATCGCACGCGCCGTTCTGCGAGCGCCGCGTTAATTAGACCTATTTGTCGGGAAACCCAACGGAGAGCAGCTCCGTAGCGCACGTGTTGTGGAATATTTTATGAGCACCGATACCAACCAAGTACCACCCACTCCAGCGATATTCAATACTGCGATCTCTTTTTCAGCAAACTTGAGTGCATTTAACTCTGACAAACTAATTATTAGTTGATTGGAAAATTATAGATTAATTTGATGTCGTTAGTTTGATTCGCTCACTCTCTGAAGATTTGACATAAGCATTTCATAGACGTGCATTCTGAATTATGAGTCAAGATTTTGTTTCCTACCAATCCTACCCATTTAAATGAAAAAAATCATCGACAATTTCTAATTCAAAAGGAATTAAGAACTTCCTTTATGATTTTTATTTGCAATTTTTTGTCAAATAAGATTATCAGGATACAATAAATTTAATTTAGTTTCCTTAGAACTACTTATGGAGAATTTATTTTAATTTTTTTAATTATGCAACCTGCTGGACACCTCTGCCAAGATATTGCATAATTTTCTATAAACATTTTGACAAGTGTCGACAATGTTATGTGTAGCTTGCATTTTTGTCAGTTAAAAAGTTCAAATTTATAATCCGAGGCAATTATTTCACAGCTAATGTAAAGAAAATTTCTTTTATAAGAGATTATTACTTTTTTCCAAGTAGAAAATCTAGATTTTGTACAATTTTTGCTCAAAACTCTGAAATAATTTTTAAAGTTAACTTACAATAAATGTGCAAATTGTTGAATTATGTCGCCATATCGGCTACGAAAAGTCGTTCTTTTTTCCCTCTTTTCTCATGACACTGCGGGGGCGCGGGGGAGTCGAATAAAACTCTATGTGTGAGGGAGAAGGATGTATTGTAAGTCATGTTTGGCGTGCTCAACAGGTACGATCGGGCAGCATGAGGCCGGCAAGATAGAGAGCTTGCAGGGTCGGTCGAACGCAGGCGCCATGGACGGAGGCCGGAGAGCCCGCAGCAGCAGCGGGGGCAGTGCCAGCGTCGCCGCGTCGGCAGCCAACACAGCGACCGCCGGCAGACTTCGGAGGCAACGGAGCCGCGAGTGGCGCGACCGTCAGTACAGCACCTCTGAGGAGGAAGGCGCACCACCATCTGCCATCATCAACGCCAGCACCAACGTGCCCAGGAACAAGACTCAGAGGACCAGTCCCACGCCAGCCGTCTACAGCACGGCCACTAACTCCGTCTACGCAGGTAGGACGCAATTTTATTCCTTACATTTATTATTTTTATTCCCTATAATATAAGATTTATGAACATAAAGAAATTATAAATATAGAAAAAAAACAGAAATATTTGTTAAGAATTATGGCATTTTTTTCGTGCAAAAAGAATAAAATACAATTCTACAAAATGACTTTCCTCCTAAATGTGATAGCGAAAATCAATATATCCAATTACCGGACAGTCATTTAATTGCAACCTTTTCGTACCGTGTATTAAATTAAATACAATTATTCATAATTCAAAATGTTATTTTATAATTATGCGTCACTTCATGAAAATGTTGCTTTAAATAATCTAACAAAACATCATTAATTTTGTTTCATATTGAGTAAATTTTATTTTCACTGAATAAAGCATGCATTTGAAAATAGATTTTAATTAAATTAAAATTACATGTTATGGTAAAATTTTCAAATTTCTAAATATAAGATTACATGTTTCGTACTCTTTTAGTAAAATATGAAAATAGCATAAAACATTTCTCTGTTCATTTGCTTGAATTTATTTATATCTAAAAGTCCATTATAAATAGAATTTCTTAAACGTTAAATCATTAACATAATTCCCATTCAACGCGCTGATTGAAAAGATTTTAAACAAATACAAATATTGTACTGCTTAAATTGCTCAACCTCAAATTATTGCCCGTAGGCCATGAATTATCAAAACATGTTCTCGTCAATTACTAAGTTTCAAAACAAACCCGCAAAAAACACTCATTGCTGCAAGTTCTTTATCAAAATTATTTCCATGCGAATACCCAATAAAAACCCAGCACGTCGCCCAAGGCGTTGCTTTCAACATGTACAATGTACACACCACGACGTTGATATGGAAGGAAAGCCCTAATTGGCTGTTAAAGAACGGGTGAATGGCGACGTCATTTCTTGCAAGTCTCGTCTCGCATCTTATTCTTTGATGCTTTTGCAATCAATCTATTCCTCAAAATTTTTCATGAATTTATTGTATAAAAAGGAAAAATAACTTTGAAATTTGGATTCCATTAATCATAATGAAGTGTTCTTAAAATAGCATATATTTTGTATACATTAGTACATATTTATAAATGCGAATGATATAATCTAAAATTGTTATTAATACATAATAAATTAAGCTTTATTTCTAATCTTTTTATAAAATACATTTATTTTTTCTTTCAATATATTTATCTGTTTAAATGCCCAATGATGATAGTTCTTTTAAAATGAAAACAAATTTCCAAAAAAGCATTATTGATATGTTTGGTCATATTTAATTAATTCTATGTCAATTACTCATTCAATTTTCAATTAATTGAATAAGCGTGGGCAAGATAGATTAAAAGCAAACATTGAGTGTTTACAATGTACATTACCTCCCACTTGTTGCTGATTTATTGTCGCAGGTACATAAATTAAATTTACTTTGCTTCCTATACGCGTACTTACTTTTTTGTCAGTCTTTTTACTAAGTAAGCTTTGAATAGCATCAGAAGATGGATGTCGCTCGTCAGACGGTGGGGAACCGAAATCCGAAAGTAGACTTTGAATGAAATCAGCTCTCGGGCGAATTGATTCTGCGACAAGTCGCTCACTCACTCACTTTGTATTGCGCGACGATTGTCGGCTGGTCGGACCGACAGATGCCTTGTACCGAACAATAACGTGTGCGTGGCTCTCTCTGTCGACATTAGCTGGGCCTCAAGATAAGAGACAAAACACAGCAGGCAAAGTCCCTCGCTCTCTAGCAGCCGTAATTGGAAATCTGTGGCCCGTAAAGATCACAGGGCTCATCTTTGTGTCCATCTCACTCTCTAGGGTCGGAGCGAGCCGGCGCTCGCGTTCTCCGACCGATGAATGAGAAATGCCGTCGCTGCTTTTATCAACAAAAGCCTCGATAAGCTGACCCGCCGCCGCCGCCGCTCTCTGTAATTATGCCAAAGATTAAATTTCGCTTCTGACCCGGCTTTCCTAACTATGGCGCCCTGGATGCGCACCAGTTGTTGTCAGAGGCATTTGACAGTTAATTTTATTATTCTCTGCATATACCTGGATAAAACACATGGTCTGCTGGTCTTCAAAATGAAAGGAATTGAAGCAGTGAACTGGAAACTCACCAAAATGGAGCTCACTGTATTATTTAATATAAAATCCATATAACAGGCTCCATTTTTTTTATAATAAAACTTTGTTAATATAAATTATTACTATTATTATTATTTTTAATTTTTTTTATCATTATTATTATTATTATTTATTCTACTCAATTCGATACAAAAAATTTAAATTGATAACCATATTAATCGGAGTAATTAAAAGGTAAAAATTTACAAATTTATAAAAAAAAATCCTTTTTCTGTGATTAGCTTCTAGCATGCAAAATTACAAGCTGTGTTAAAATTAAATTAACACAATTTTATAAATGATCTAAATTTGGTTTTAAAAACGTAACATCCAATATTGATAAACAAGGAAAATATTTTCATAACCGATCACACGCATTCATTACAATTTTACAAATAAATAATCTCCTCATTAGCGCAAAAATGAAAAATTGCAACCAAAAAAGTTTGTTATTCGGAATCCACAATTTGCACAAGTCAAACTCAAAGCCGATAAAAAATGCTTTTGTGCGTCGGAATGAACGTGTTCGACATGGGGGCGTTTTTGTTCCGACACGCATTCATCATTGATCAAAATAATGCGGCGCGCGCGTCAGAAATTGGCGGATGCCCTTTCATCGGTGTTGCCAATTAAAAAGGCTCAACTTGCGAGAGAGCTCTCTCACTGCTAATTAACTATTTAGCCGTGGCAAACAAAGCCGGCTATGCTGACCGTCGGAGCGAAAACAACTCTCTCGTCGGCATTCCGTATTCGGCTTCAAATTCAGTCAGAGTGACGCGAGCGAGCGCCCATTACAATTAGAAACAGAGCGCGTGCAAAATATTTAATGAGTATAGTTGCAGCTGAAATGTCAACTTGTTGGAAGTGAGTGCGAGGAGAAAACATGGCTGGGCACCACTTCAGAGCTGATTAATTATTCACGCGCACACTTTTGCGCTCGTCAGCCTTTCCGAGAGTAAAAATCGACGCCGGCCGATGAATAATTTTCCCGAGCAAGCGGAATTAAAAAGGCGTGTTTGTTTTTGGCTCGGTGCGCGCGGTCAACAAAAGCGTTCGCCGCACGCAGCAGAGGCAAATTTGTCCTAATATTTAAGCGAAAAGTGGCTTTGTAAGCGCATAAGTCCGATGTTTTATGAAATAAGTTGCGAGAGCGTATATATTACGCAGCACTCGGGGCCGTCGCTGTGGTGGCTTAAAACTTTCTATCGAGCAAATAATGCCAAGTTGGCTGGCAGAAAAGTTGAACAACCACTGCGAGCTGCTCTCTGTGCGCCCCGAACGAAGCCTTTGCTCCTGCGAATACTTTACAACTTTGCAGCTACTTGAAGCCGCCGAACAAAAGATTCTGCACACGAGCCGCTGAGGTTGTTCTTTGGCACGACGACGAGATGAATTTTAATAATTTCTTCATCTTTGTTGTCCATCTTTATGTTATTTAATAGTGAAATTACTTCTTTCAGCTCTCAAAGTATTATCAGATCAACGTTTAACCCCCAACCCAAAAACTAAACATTTTTTAACTAAATGAAACTTTAAATTTGATCGCTTATTATATGAAAATTGAAATATAATTGAGGTGTTTCTAATAAAGTTGTGATCTGCAAAATGTGGTTGGGAAGCTTCCCTAGTAATCTGATACTCTAGATTGGAAATTAATTATTTTGCAACATCCCTGTAGTGCACAACAAGGAAGCTTATAAAATGGCAATTGTGATGTACATATATTATAAGGTTTCATCACAACTTGAAACTTGGATTCTCAGAAATAAAACGTGCAAATATACATCAGATATCAGTACAAATTAATAATTATTCGTTTTAGTCTCCGTAGAAACAACCGCCTTTCTAAATTTGTTGCTAAAAAACCTATTTTAGTAATTTACGCACAAATTAATCTTCTTTCACGCCTGCATGCACTTTTTATTTCAATAAATTGCAAACATAAAGGGGTCGACGTTTGGCGGGGGCGGCAGTCCATCAACGGCGCCGTAAATAACATGCATCATTTACTGCGCCTATACATCATCAAGTCTTAATCCTCTTTGACCGGCAGGCGCTTTCATTGCGGCCACCAATGCTTTTTTACCGGCCGGTTTTTTTTTGCGAGCAGCGGAAAATAAGGAAAGGAAGAGGTAGCTGCATAATCTGATTTCGGGAAACGAGAGAGAGAAAAGCACGACGACATCACTTTCTCTGGTAGTCGGGGCGGATTAGCGCCGAGCATCAAACTTTTACGCACGCATAGTACCTGGGCTTTGAAACTCGACGCGTCGGAGAGACAAAAACAAAGCGTCCCGCCGCACGCCAGGCAGGCACACTGCTTTGCGCTCAGCAGGCAGATTTACATTGTAAATTTCCACGCGCGCGCTCGCCTCTCTGCTAATATGGAGATTAATGAATATTTTTAATGAGAATTTACGGCGATGATGAAATACATTATGCAGCGTCCACTCGCAAAGTCCAGCTAATTCTTTTACATCAGCCCTCTACCTCATTTTATCTCTACACTCTTGTTCATCTGCTCATCTTTTATTGTTGGTGACACTTTTATCTTGACCAAAGTAGCCTGATGGGTTTGATTAAAACGATTCTATTGATAAAAAAAATTAAAATAAAATAAAAAAGGTTACGTATGGTTATTTTTTTGTACTATGAAACCTGGAAAATGAATATTAGTGTAGTTGAATTGGGCAATAAATAGTCCAAGGTCCAAGATCTTGAAATCATCAAATTTTAATTTACAGTTGTTCTTATGAACAAATTTCTACTGTATTTTGTTTAAAATATTTAATTATTTTCTTTGTTCATTAAAATCAAACTTTTAAAACTATAAAGGTTCATTTCTTGAAACTGGTTTTTTCTTTGAAAATTATAAATAAATTTTAAATAAATAAGCAAATTTAAATGTTTAAAATTACATAAACAGAAAAAACTTTTAATTTCATACATGTTACTGTTGTCGTTCATTTGTCCACATTGTTATAAATACATTGCACATTTAATTGCTGAAAACAATATAAGAATTATTATTTTTATTTAATATTATTGATGCTCAATAATAAGCAAATTATGTAGTATTTAGTTGCAAATCGCTGTGTATCAAAGAAATGTTATTTTGTGTTTCAGCAACTCCACAAACAAACGGAATTTACCGCACCGGCTCGCAACTGAGCACCAACTCAGACACAGAAGTGACGGACAACCCGACGTCACCCTTTCCCACGCCGCCGGCGTCCTCGTCACCGGTCAACGCCGTCATGTACTCTTCGGCGGCCATGGCGGCCAACGCGCCTCGCCAGAGCTCTCCCTACCCTCTGGAGAACACAATGGCCGGCGCCAGTCCCCGCGGGGGCAGTCTGTCTAGCGGCGCCGGCATCTACGCGGAGCCGACCCCGCCGCCGAGTCAGCAGCAGCGCTTCCTCAACCGCCACTACAACAAACAGCCCAAGAGCGGCTCCAACTCGGTCAAACAGAACTCGAGCGGCGCCTCCCAAGGCTCTCTGCAGAGCTCCAGGGGCAGGGTGTCCGGCAACCGCAGCAGGACGGGCGGCACCTCCACCTCGTCCTCGGACAATATGTCCGATGCCACCTACCCTGAAGACATGGTCAAGGACAACCGTTTGCACCTTGACAGTGGTGAGTACAGCCTTTTTAATTTTGCTACTTTCAAATTATGTTTGAAATCAAATGCACAAATTTATTTCTGAAGTTTCTAGGCTTGCAAATGTAGTGATTCAATAATTATTGCAAATAACATTAAAATTTTCTGAATTTTGCAAGTCAAATATGATCAAAATAGTCACACATTATGTTTTATTATAACTCTTATTGTTTCCCAACCTTTATCACTGACGACAAGCGTGAGACAATAAATTTTAATTTTAAATGCTGAAAATCTACAAAACCAAAATACATTTTAAAACAAATGTTATAATATAAATTATAAAATAATAATAATAATAAATAAATAAATAAAAATAATATTATATTATAAATTAAGTTAAAAAAATATTTCTAAGTGCCAATAAAAAAAATGTAATTAAATTTTTATTGAATCAGCATAATAAAGATGGGAATATCTTGTGCTCGACTTAGCAACGCATGTTTATTGAAATAGTTATCGGAAAAGTTTCATCCGAATTGCATATAGGAAACGTTTCTGACTCTTTCATGAACCATCTCCGTTCAACAATGCCTGCAGCCGAGCAGCGTTGAGGAAAAGAGCGATAAGTTCAAATGTTCGCAGGACGAACGGTCCGTTTTCCGGGCCGTTGCAAAGTTTGGGCGCCGGAAGAGTGAAGCGAGCTGCGCCGCGAGCCGATTCCGTTTCTGAATGGCGCTGATATGCAAAATTTTACGTTTTCCGGCTACGAAAACAAACAAAAAAATAGTCGGATTATTCAGTCGCGCTGAATGCACAAAATTTAACGTCTCCTTTCATTATTATTTCTGTTTTACTTTCGAGCAGAGAGTTTGTGTTACCCTTGCTGTCGAGTGAGCGCCAAGTGGAGATTACCCTGGTAATTGCCGAGCGGAGTGGAGAAAAAAACACGATCCGATGATAGAGAGCGAGCGAGATGGTGATTATGGAGTGTGGGATGTTCGCTAAGCCATGGCAGATTTACTCTGGGAAAAAAACGCTCGGCATTAGAGTGCCGATATATTTTACAGCTGGGCGGGGAGGGGCTTTGCAAATTTTATGAAGAAGAAAATTTAGAGTCGATTTCTTTTTGTTTGCAAATGGCTTCGCCTGCGAAAGGAAACGCGTCTTTTTTACAACAGCGGCGACAATATCCGGTGGTGCTATTTTCAGATGCCAATTTCCAGCACGGTGATTATTGAATAACAATCGCTCGTTTTTTCTTTCTTGCCCCTCCTGTTCCGTTGTGTCAATATTTATCGTTGTCTCTCTCCGAGATACACTCGCTCAAATTTCCCAGCAGATTTTCAAACGTGCTTACTTCCCCCTCAGTGATCTCCACTTGGGGAAAATAATTTCCGACCAAATCCTCACGCTTTTCTTATTTTTATCGTTTTCCTTTCCGATTGATGTTTGAATCGTAGTAACAAATGTATGCCAGATTTCTCTCAAGTGGTGCCATATTTTTATCTTTCCTCCTCTGCGCTCCCAATTAGCGCGATTGGAAAACGAATTTGCAGCTCTTCCACTTGTTCTGTCTGGCGCTGACGTTTTTTACTTTTTATTCCGCCACTCATCAACGAGGTCGCTTCCTCATTTTTGACTCCCCGTATGTCTCGTGATGGATGTGAAACAATGCTCGCCGTCATTTGCGCCAAACCCTTTTTCCCTGCATGGCTTGATTGCCAGCGCTGTAATTGAATTGGCCTTTTTTGTCATTGGATGAACGGCGCTCGCTCGCGCCCAGGAAGGAAGATGGTATTTTGCAAAACTCGTTGACCTGAAACTCGCCGAACGCTGAAATACCTCGGTCAGATGGACGTGCAGCAACGTTTGCAAGTAGCAAATCGAGCTCAGTTTTGAATTTTCATTACCAAAAATAGCTTGCTCTATAAACTTCACCTTTGAATTCAAAATTTAAGGTATTATAAAAACAAATTGTTACCGGCAAAATTTTATTTTATCCCTGCCACCAAAGAATTGAACTTAAAAATAATTTAAAATTTCAAATTATGTATCTAAATATAAATGATTTTAATTCATGACCAATTTTATTTAATTTCAAAATTTTTTAGGATTTGGATCAAAAAATAGAATTTCATATCATAAACAGGAAGTCAAAAACCTAATAATATTTTTACAGAGAAAATCTTAACAAGCATGTAATTTACTGTGAATGAATTTATTATTTCAATTTTAGAGGTAAAATTCAATTAAAATTTGAATTTAATGGTGCATTCCTTAGATTTTTTTTAATATTAAAAAAAATGATTGAAATACATTTAACATAATAAATCCAGCAAACAAATAATTATATTACTTAAAATAAATTATTTATTTTTTCATATGTATGTTAAATTGATTATAATAAAAATATTTAATGAAAGTATATACTAATGTGCGTAGCAGTTATTTAGTCCACAAAAGTGTTTTTGAGTGTTTAAAATGAAATGGGGCTTTCATTTTAAATCGTGTGCAGGCGATAAATTTGCAAATCATTTAGCGACAATAGATCAAACTAGTGAAAACGGTAGGCTTTTAGTCGGGCACGTCAACCGCGCGGGTTGCATACCATGATTTGGCCGGTTTCTTTGTGCTGTTCGTGTACGCGAGTGGCCATAAATTAAAGAGAATGACGAATCAATTATTTCGACAGCAGCCCCACCGTCCGTGATATAAATAATTGAGAGGCTTTATGTCCGGCAACCAGGCAGTGAGGCCCGCAGTTTGCGTCCGATTAATAAACAAGCAATTAAAATTTCACCAACAGCATCAGCGTTGTTGGAGGTACGCACACGATGTTTTCAGCACCAGGCCAATTATTAAAATATCAAAAGCCTGCCGGTGCAGACAATAATCATTTTCAGGGCTGAGAGAAAATATTATATAATATTTTGTACCAAACACGGGTGCGATGAAACGAAGGCTATTGTGGGCCGGGCGCATTCATTCTCTCGCGATTGTTGTATTAAATTTCGAGCGGAGAGGATGAGAGGCCTTATCGAAAACAGCACGCGCGCGAAAAGAGCCGCGCGGTGCAAAAGCTTTCGGCTGTGAGGCAAACTAAACACAATATCAAGCTAATTATCATCAATATTCGAGCACTTGTGAGATTACAGACGTCCCTAATTGAATTGTGCCTCTGTTGGCGCAAGAGAGGGAGCCAAATTTTCGTTCATTCCACTCCAGCAAACCTCTACCTGCTGCTGTTAAGACCAGATTTCGCGTTGATTGCCATTATTTCGGTTGGGCCGTTTTCATGCCACATATTTCTGTTGCGTGGTGTGTAGGCAGCAATGGAGAGTTTGCTAAATTGGCAGTTTATGTACAGCAACAGCATTTTGCAAATTGAATTTTGATCATTTTTCCGCTCCTTTGTGCTGAAATGCAATTCGCTCATCCGTCACTTTGCACCAATGTGATTGGTTCAAGCTGTATAGGAATTTTTATATATATTTTTCTCCAATATTATTTATTGAAAGCGCGGCGAGGGTCGCTTGCCTGCCTTGCTGCTCTCGTACATATTTATCTGCCGCAGAGGCACTCGCCGTGATATGAAAATTCAGCCTGTTTGTGTGACAAGTTGGCAAAGTTTCGATCGTCTCAGAAAAAATACGACTGCAGCCAGCCTCAGTCATGAAAATAAAATCCTCGGGGAGGACCTATCAGATCCACTCACTCTTCGTCGCTCACTTATTTCTCCTCCAGGACAAAAATACCCGGAGAGAGAGCGAACGACTTTTTTTCGTGTACACCGCCGACTTCTTTCACGGTCTTTTAAATTTGATTTGCTCTCTCGCATAGAATACTCGCTCCAACACAGATAGATATACCTTTTCTGCAACTCTCTCGCTGCCAAATTGAATCAAACTTCTCAACTCTCCCTAGATCTTATGAGAAAGTGCATTTGGATTATGCCTTCTCTTATTTCAGAAAAAATTCGCCGAATTTTCTTCTTTATATCACATGAATAATACTAAAGTCGAAATTAAATTCATATTTATATTTAATTTTTTTTTATTTTTTATAATGATATTTTTATAATAAAAAGCAAAATTTATATTTAACGTAATACTAAAGTTTAACTACCGATCCTCTTAATAACATTGATATTAAGAGTGACCATTCTACATTTAGGCGATTCATAGCTCACAAGTAATTAAAATTGAACTACGAGAGTAGTTTCCTATTAAGTAAATTACTAGATCCAGTAATGAAATACCAAAAATATCCATATATTCAGTATTTCCTTTATACAAACGTATTTATATAAACAAGAGAATGAAGAAATCTGGTTTTACAGACTAAATGCATCAGACCAGAAATAATACTGTGATATGGAAAAATACTCCAATGGTTCATTTAATACTCACGACCTAACGTGAGTGTAACCTTGTCTTTCTATTTTTAACATCTATGAGTTGTTTTTGCACGATCGGCTTTGTTGACTTGTTTTAATCGAATTGACGGTGCTGGAACAAACTCTCCCCGAGCAATTATTGTTTGCAGTCGAGCCGGCCGCAATTTACATCAGTCGCGCACGTGAGCGGCCTAGCGTGAAATTTCATAAATCCGCGGCTAATTGAATTCGTCCGCTGCTCCTGTCGATGATTTATCCTAATTACTGCGAAAGAGTATCAATTTTGATTCAAAATCAAATTGCACGGCCACTTTGCTCCCAGGCTAAACGAATCACTGCTGCTTTTGATCATATTCCGCCTTTGAAATAGCGCAGCGCGTTATTTTGATTCGTTTTCATCTTTCAGTTTCGAAATGCGCAGTTCACACCTGACTGCTTTCTAATGCAGTTGGCAACAACTGCATAACGACCTCGATTGCGCTCACGTGCACACCACTCCACCCTCATTATTCCTAACGTGCAGGTTGCAACAAAAGATGGAAAACAAACTCGTAAACTGCACTTTCCTGTCAATTATTTCGCGCTTTAATTAGGATAAAATGCAGAGAAACAGACTTCTCGTGTGCGTGGCCTGAGCTAATTAATTCAGCAGCACGGAAAATGGTTAATAATTAGCGCCTGTAGAACGATGCACCGCGACTAGAGACTCTTTCGCAACAACTGCTGCGTCGTCCCACTTTGGATGCGGTAATTGCATGAGTAATGGGAGTTCTTGGGACCACCAACGCTGGCTGATTGATGCAATAATTACAACGCTATGATATGCAAGAGCAGATTTCCATCGTTAATTGGGTGCTAATGTAGCCGAGTCTGATTTGCATATTAGAATTCATTAAGTGTGAAGTGACACACTGTGATTTAATTATTTGGAGGGACAAAGACCTCTGACCTCATGTTTTTCAGGAATATACAGTTGAATAATATTTTCTAAAATGTTTAAAAAATGCTTAATTATTCGTTTTATACGCAAATAATGATGTTTAATTCACAACTTTATTTCATATATGAGCTCTGTAAAGTAATAATATTATATTATCATAATTAATTTTTTTATTTCAAATCAGAAACGACAATAGCCTCAAAATCTATGTGACAAAGCTAAAAAATAAAAAAATTTTTATTTGAAATTGAGAAAAAGTTTAATAATAAAATATTTTAAAATTATTTATTTTCATATTAATACTAGTTTTTACTCTTTTTTCCTTTTTTGCTGCAAATAAAATTTTCTTAATTTTTCCACCATAATCTTACTTATCGTTAACTTAATTAGTAAATAGTATGAGTCTGTAAAATTAATTGAATCCTAAAAAATCATGACAATTTTAATTTAAATTATAGTGTTAATTTTTTTGGAACACATCTTTTGGATAATAATAAAACATGCAGGATTCTAAAATAATTGTGTTTAATTAACGAAACAATAAAAAATATCCTTTTTAACAAAATTCTATACTGCGCAGTTTGAACATTAAATTGTGTTAATTTTTAATCATGTTAATTTCTACCATGCAAATGGCTAGTTTATATTATGTATGTAGTGTGCATATTAAATAAGTTTATTTTTTCCTCTGTGATGAAATTTGCTGATTTGCACGAGTGTGCAAATATTGCAAATTGGATCACGCTTGACGTGCTGGCAAACAGCAGCGGCACTCGGCGTAGGCGACCACACTGATCCAAACAGGGGGTAAACAGCCGACGCACTGAGAATCCGCTCGTCCGCTTTCCTTTATCATTAAACAAACACGGTTTGGCCTTTTCGAGCTTAGAGAAATAAGCGGTGACATGCGTTAACAAACATTAAACTGCGCGCAACACAATGACCAGGGCGCGGACGACTAATTGAATTCGGAGCGAGTTGGCCTGGCTGGAAATTGTTGGTTCCAAAGCAACGGGGGTGGCGCCCAAGCTAGAGAGGTGACGAAATGACCAGAGCCGCCTGTTGTGCTTAATCAAATGTGAAGAGAGGCTGGCTAACTAGACAGTGACATAACAATGCCTTCACAGTTCGACCCCCAGGCCAAAACGCGCCAATCGATATCCATAACAAACTGTTCTGAACCCACCTTTCTCACAGTCCTTTAAGAACTTAAGGAAAATTATTTTCTACTGGTCTCATTCTTGCTGATCTATTTAAATATAAATATAAAAAATTATTAGTGGAATAAAAATTAAATCAGTAGAAAATTTCAGGGGACAAGAAATTGAAATTGAACTAAAGCTGCTCAAATCTTTAGTAAATTTTGGACAACAGAAAAAAAATAAGTAAATAAAGAAGTTCAGAAAAATGATATATCCATTAAAACGTTAAATAGAAAATAATTAAAATTTTTCTTTATATTTTTTCCATACATAAATTATATAACGTGAAAGGCTAGAAAAACATATTTAATTTTTGATTACCTTAAATCTAGATAATTGAGCGCGCATTTCAGGAAATCATCATGTGTTTTTATTAATGAGTAATATCTGGTCGCGGAAAATCGGAAAATCTGCTGGAGTTTCGCAACCCCCTCGTGAGATGGCATCCGAATCAGCGCCGGGGTGGACGAGTAATGCACGCTGATGCAACCAGGGCGTGCGTGGAGCCGCTTTTCCTCCGTTCACTCTCATTCGCAGAGGGAAAAGCACCCTCTGCTTTTCGGCCCAATTATGATAACGACCGCCTCATGAACGTTTCATTCTTCTCGCAGAATCTTTCAAACGAGCTAATTTTTCAAGAAAATTTTTCTTCATAATAATCTCACTGACGAGCCTCTTTTCCGCCCTCTCAACTCTTAAAAAAGGAACTTTTGTGTTGCCTTTTGCAGCTGCACTGCTCGAGCGCCGTGTCTTCTTAACAAAATCATTAATTTACACACTCAGCCTTTTCTTTCTCTCCACGTCGGTATGTGTGCCGGCGAAGGGCGTCCTGCTCACAAATTCTCATCACTCAATTCGCCAGCCTCTATTTTTCTGCTCTAGTTGGTCTCAATTTTCACTGGCGCAGCGCCTGCTTTTTTTCGAAAGGACCCGACAAAATTATTAATGAGCCCAGTGCGAACGTCTGGCATTTTTTCCACTCTATACTTTGAGAAAATTGTTATGTGGAAAAAGGCGCATTTTTTACTTAGAACATGAAGGAGATAACGATTTTCCTCTGTCGGTAACTGGAACCATAGCCCGGTCCAGTCATGTTCGGCCACGAGACAAAAACGGGACTAGAGTTAATCGATTTTCCAAAAGATCCAATTAGACGAGTGGTGTAGAATGTGGCGGGCAGAGTACTTACATGGAGTAAATACAAGTGACCTCTGCCGGAACGAGCACCCCGGGGCGATAATCACAGTGCATGCAGATAATAAATCTTGTTAAAGTAAAAGCCTGTGTTTACACTACAGCGCCGGTGCAAAAGGGCAAAAAGCAGCAGACGAAGAGCGAAACTCTCGCGGAGATTAATTGAAAAGTTTTCTACTCTCCTCCCACCGCAAAGTTTATACATTCCCGCCTATACCTCAGTACTTTTCATAAATGCATGCTCTGGTTTTTTTTATAAGAAAAGAACAAGTTAAAAATTGGAGACTATGCATTTGAAAATGCATGTTTCAATTTGTCCTCCGCAGACATGCCCGACTCGCCACCCGAGCCAGCCCCTCCGGAGGTCCCGGCGCGAGGCCCTTCGCTGGCCAACGGAGGTTCCACTTTGCGCCAACTCAGGGGCTACGCGGCCTCGCCCGAGTCGCCAGGCAACTGCGAAAACGAGTCCGAGATCTCGGCCGGCTATCACACGGCCACCCCCTCGGCCAATAACTGCATTTTCTTGCAAGGTAGGAACTAATATGCATTTCACAGAAACGTTTCATATTATATAATATATTATATTTACATACTTACATTTTAAAATTATCTATTGTTTAAAAAAAATTCACTGAGGACTTATCTGCTCTTGAAATTGAAAATTAAACGATAACGTTCTCCAATTTTTTTTTAAATTTTAATCTATACCTTGAACAAATATAGGTAAAGCGTTGCAACTTTTGATATTTAATTTAATTTTATAATAATTTTATATGATAAATTGATGGTCGATTGGAGCATTTGGAATAAACAATTGCTTGCGTGTGTGTAATTATCAATGTTTTATATTTTATTATTTAACATAACCTCCAAAGTTGATACTTTGCCAATTATTTTTTAATTTTAACATATATCATGATTATTGATCCTAAAGAGTTTATAAAAAAATATGTTACGCCAAACTTTTTTCTGTTTTAAACAGAACCTTTTAGTCTACTTTTTTTTAACTGCATTACATGTTACTAACAATAAAGAATAAATAAAAATAAAAATAAATTAAATTTTTAATAAGTTTACATAAAAATAAATTGAGATACGTCTAAAAATTTTTAATAATAGGAGAGTAAACTTTAATTATTATTATATATTTACATATAGTAAAGGTTTAATGTAATTGATAAGTAACATAAAAAATTATTACTTGTTGCAAGATGTCCCATTCTTTATCAATTATTACGTTTATTGTCAAACCCTTTCTGATCATTTTTTTTCCATTTCAATTTTTCTATATTGACTTGCGGACAATAAGAGAATAACAATTTGTCCACCCACCATGCCGAATTCAAAGGTGTGATTATCTAGTAGTCTCCTTTTATAATTTTTTTTAATTGTTGCTAACTTTCTATTGCTTTTTATAAGCATTATTTTACAAGCCTTATCAAGAATAAATTGCACAGGCACATATAAAGGATTGAACAAATTTTAACAAATATATACATGCTTCACTGAAGCGTTATTAGCGGCAAAGAGTAAAGAATTATGCTCTTACGATTTGCATAAGAGTGGTGCGTATATATTTTTAAAGATAAAATCGGACAGCAAAAGAGGCGTATGAATAATTCGGACATTTATCCACGGTACACGTGTCACCACTCTGCGCAACAAAGCACGTTTTATTTGGAGTTTGCCCAGTGTATGTATAAATGCCGTCTGTTTGCAGAGGCAAAGAGATATGGCGAGAGTTTTTGGTGGGTCGCAGGCATACACACGATGTCGAGATCAAAGCTCCTCGTCCGTTTATGAGCGCATTCAAAAGAGACTCTATGAGGAGGCTCTGCTCATAAAACATGCAGCGGCAGTCAAGTGACTTGGTGTTTGCACCAACGACCAGAGAGAGAAAGCGAAAGGGCCTCGTAGATGGACCAAAAAATAACAAAACGGGACATTGTTTATTCCGAGAAGAAAAGTTAAAAGGCAACCGTGGATGCATGAAAATTGAAAATGATTCCTTTTGAGAGTAAGAGAAGCAAAAAGTTTCAGTTTTTGAATTCGGCTGGCTCTTTTTGCGAGGCAAGATTAATGCTTCGGCACACGTTGAATCGAGATGAGGCCACTTTCGCCAATGCAACAAAAGAGCCCGGCGCGAACGTAATATATTTTGAATGATGAGCGGCACGCGAGCAAAAACGTACGCTCTCCGCTCTGCCATTGACAAATGGATTTGAAAAAGAGCTCCTTTTGCGCCCCGAGCGGAGAATAAATTGGCACTGACGCGAATGTTAATCTCGGCGGCAAGGAGTTGTCGGCCAAATTTGGCCTGACATTGGACCAAAGAGTAATCACTTAGTGTGGTGTGTTCCCCTCTGATGGACGTCGACGTGTGTCGCCCACATTAGCGCGGGCGAAATTAAAAACACGTTGCCATTACCGCCGTCCGAGCGCAAAGTAATCGCGCTTCGGGCCGCTCCGGTGCTGAATAATTTAACGCAATTACAACTTCATCACGCGCGCCATTGGCAGTCGAGAGTTATTGGAGCAGAAGCTGTGCGCGCAAAACTGCCCATTACACGGCGGCCGAGATTTTTGCTCGATTAATGGCTACATATGCTGACCCAAGTCATTTCCAGCAAATCGTATCTCTGGAGAGATGAAGCAAGTCCCGGAAAAATTCAATTATCGTTGGAAAGATTGCCTCACATTTTTTTACTTTCAAAAATTTTGGACTTCAATTTAAATTCTATTAACGATTTGGTCATTAAAAATAATTTAGTTAAAAATAAAATGTCACTTCTACATAAAAATAACACAATTTTTAGCAATCTAAAATTTTCCCTGATAAGTGTAGAATTTTTTAATCTGTGAATTTACTCACTTTTAATCAATCTCCTGTTCAATATTTGACTTTGATGATTTGACCTTATTTTTATTTTTAATTTTAAAGCATTCCTTTATCCTTATTTCTATCACATTTGTAAATTTCCAGTACTAATTTTATTTAAAAATTTATTTCAAAATAATTTAAGAAAATAATTATTCACTTTAAATCACTTTTTTAATATCAAATTGGATCTTCATTTAATAATTAGTTATCTTTTCAATTTCCATGGTGTTAAATGGATACAAAATGTTCTTGTGTTCAACTTGTTAGAAATAATTCAAGCTTCTTTCAAGCTATCCATCTTGCAGTAGCAAGTGAATAATGTAGGATTTATGCAGGACAGTTTCCAACTCCCCTGCAGCCACAGCAGCAAATACAAGACATTTTACTCGTCCTCCGCGTGTGCCAGGAGGAAAAACAAAGCCGCCCTCTATCAATCACCCGGTGACATTTCCCGCTGCTCGCAACTCGCCGCTCCTGCCGTTATTGAGTTACATCAGTATGCACTTTTAATAAACCTGCACCCCGTGTGTGTCGGGGGTGTGTTTATTGCCCGGAGCGGTGCCGTTTGCAGCAACATCCCCCACCGTCTTTCGGTCTTTGGTGAAAGAGAAAGAGCGAGAAAGCGGCTTGACACGACCTTAACGGGCGTGTTTTCTGCATCAAAAAGTGCACTTTCCGCAGATTTCCTACAGCTATATACCCAATAAATATTTACTGCAGCACACGATCGCCCTTCCGTGAAAAAGAAGTTTGGTTTGATGGCGTCGGCTGTAATGGCAAAACAAATTTTTATATGCACCGGAATGCCACTTCTTTGTGTTGAAAGGAATTTTGTTTATTTTTTAGGGCAATTTTTGCATTTTGTCCCTCTGAGACTTTTTTGTTCAAAATCAGTTTCGGTAATATTTTTCTGGACTTTTCTCAAAATGAAGCACTGATAAAAAAAAATCTTTTGACACACTTCAGTTTTGAAAATTTTCAGCTATATCCTTGAAACCTATTGCTGGGGTCAAGAGATTCTGAAAAAAAAAAAACCTTTTTTACTTGACCTCTTTTTTTAGAAACACTGAATATCTTCAACGGAAGCTGTGAATATTTTTTTGGAATAATTTTTTTTAATACAACACACTAATAATTACAATTTTCCACAAGAAAAACGTCATATTGATGAAGATAGTAAATAAAATTTGAAAATTGGTGTGGTTTGGTTTTTTATACTTTCTACCTTCAAATAAAATTGTTCAGTTTCTATGTTTATATAACTTTTGAAAACTTTTCAAATAGTCTGCAGGCTGCTCAGATTTTTTAATTCTGGAATGCATTATTATATTTTAAACAAAATATTCTTACATAATTTATTTTTTCCATTTTAAAATTTTTTACATTTTGGCACGCTTTGAGTGTCATCCATGTGCAAAATCGATCCGTGTTTTCCATCAAAGGTTGGATTCTGAGAAGGAAGCTGTGTGTGTTTTTAGGCTTGTGCACGTCACTAATTAACGTCGAATTCCCAATAAGCCGAAGCGAAAGCCCCTCCGGCGACAGGGCGCCCGTCAGCCCTGGTAATCGACAAACGTTGCCCTCTGCCGCTGGCAGGCGAGACTATACGCGCGCCAATGTGATTAGTACGTAGTGACGAGGGGGTTGCGCGCGCGACGGATGGTATAAACCCCTTAATGCTACACGGACGCAACACGTCACGTTCGCTGCAATCAACGTCCGCGCACGCACATTAAATAAAATACAATTCAGCAAACACAGTGAGAGACAAACAATCCCGTTCGCCTCATATTCAATTTCACATATATTTAACGTTTGTGTGCCGCACAGCGATGAACATAAATATAAACAAATATGCTTCGGATATATATGCGTGTTCTCTCAGTTGAGGCGGCGAACCAATAAAAAGAGCTTTTATTGCCGGCCATTATTAACATCGAATCCAATTATCGTCCTTGTACTGCATGATTCGATTAAAAATCGGCCGGATTATTTTATATATTTCGGTGTGCGAGTGTAAAATGGCATGTGTGCGCCACCCCGCGCCCGAATACATTTGCATATTTATTTATATAGAGCGACGAGAGCGCATTGTGATTTCGTTCTGCCCCTATTAATGTAGAAGTGCTGTAATTAAGGCTGATGCTGCACGCCATCGTTTTGTGCTGCTGACGATATTCATGATGGTTTCGAATTTAAAATTAGCTAGAGAACTTACTTTTTACTTAAATGTGTTTCTCTTCAGCTCAAACTATTTTATAAATCTAACAACAACTTACTGTTGCTTTTATGTAACAAAGTTGATTTTTTTTCTTTTACTACATCATTCTACATCTATAAATACTGATACCAAAACCATTTGAAGCGTCTATCTTAAACGATTTTCAAAAAGTTCTATTACCATTAAAAGCTGTTAAAATTTTCAATGTTGATTGATATTACATAAGAGAAGTAAAATTTCCTGGAAATAATAATCTACTTTCATTCCGAGAGCCCCTCTAAAAATTCTCAGATTTGAAGACCTGCGCTCCAAAATACATCTGTTTCCATGGAAATAAACCCATCCTCAAAGATACAAACAAATATATAATAACTTCCAGGTAACTCACATATGCCCGGAATATGTTTATCAAAAGACCCGAAGTTCAG